CACGAAAGAGTTGAAGAGGCCCAAGGCGATACAACAGTGGGTTAATGAACTATATTGTGTGATAGAATATTTAGTGTGATGTTAGTATGTGATAGAATATTTAGTGTGATATCTAGTATGTGAATAGAATATTTAGTGTGATATTTAGTATGTGATAGAATATTTAGTGTGATATTTAGTATGTGAGGTGTGATATCTAGTGATATTAGTGATAGTATATAGAATATTTAGTGTGATATTTAGTATGTGATAGAATATTTAGTGTGATAGATGTGATAGAATATTTAGTGTGATATTTAGTATGTGATAGAATATTTATGATATTTAGTATGTGATAGAATATTTAGTGTGATATAGTATGTGATAGAATATTTAGTGTGATATTAGTATGTGATAGAATATTTGTGTGATATCTAGTATGTGATAGAATATTTAGTGTATATTAGTATGTGATAGATATTTAGTGTGATAGTATGTGATAGAATATTTAGTGTGATATCTAGTATGTGATATTAATATATGTGATGAATATTTAGTGTGATATCTAGTATGTGATAGAATATTTAGTGTGATATCTAGTATGTGATAGAATATTTAGTGTGATATCTAGTATGTGATGAGTGTGAATAGTATGTGATAGAATATTTAGTGTGATATTAGTATGTGATAGAATATTTAGTGTGATATCTTAGTATGTGATAGAATATTTAGTGTGATATTAGTATGTGATAGAATATTTAGTGTGATATGTATGATAGTTAGTGTGATAGTGATAGAATATTTAGTGTGATATTAGTATATAGAATATTTAGATATTTTAGTGTGATAGATATTTAGTGTGATATTAGTATGTGATAGAAATATATTAGTGATAGAATATTTAGTGTGATATTTGTATGTGATAGAATATTTAGTGTGATATAGTATGTGATAGAATATTAGTGTGATATCTGTATGTGATAGAATATTTAGTGTGATATTTAGTATGTGATAGAATATAGTGTGATATCTAGTATGTGATAGAATATTTAGTGTGATATCTAGTATGTGATAGAATATTTAGTGTGATATTTAGTATGTGATAGAATTTAGTGATGTATAGAAATATTTAGTGTGATATTTAGTATGTGATAGAATATTTAGTTGTGATCTAGTATGTGATAGAAATACTTAGTGTGAATAGTGTGATAGTATTTAGTGTAGTAATAGATATCTAGTATGTGATAGATATTTAGTATGTGATAGAATATTTTAGTGTGATATTTAGTATGATAGAATATTTAGTGTGATATTTAGTATGTGATTAGAATATTTAGTGTGATATTAGTATGTGATAGAATATTTAGTGTGATATCTAGTATGTTAGAGAATATTTATTTAGTTTTAGTTAGAGATATTTAGTATGTGATAGAATAT